GCAGCAGGCGGCACCCTCATGGTTTAGCCTGTTTGCTGCCTGGTGTTCCTAAGCAAGGCGGGATTCCCACACTCCCAATTTCACTTTGCACCCATACTTTCCTTCCAGGCTTCCTAGGTTCTAAGCACCACCACAATCCTCCACTGATGTCTTTTTAGATCTCATTTCACTATTGTAACCATCCTCCAGAAATGTGGTTATTTGCAATCATACAACTCAGTATTTTCTTCCTTAAAAAATTAACAGAAAATAGTTTTAGAAATAAATAGAAAGAAAAAGTGATCTAGGCAAACAGGCCTCTGCCAAAAAACAGAATCGAAAGTAGCAGGCTAGTAGAAAACTTTATTTTAAACCACTCCTTCCCCCTTAATTACAAAAAAAGGTAAGAGAATGTGCTTCCATAGGAGCTCAAGTGAGCTCGGGGTACGGGGCGTCATGACTGCTGTAAGGCTTCCTAGAAGGAGAAAGCAGGTTGGGAGCACGCAGAGAAGGCAAGAGATGGTGCCTTTTTGATTTGAAATGTGCAAAATCAAGCCACCATGCTGGAGAAAATTTGGGTACTGCAGACCCACAGCTTCTCATGTTGCTCGGCTGTCGGTGTGGCTCAGGCATCACTCAAGTGCACAGACCCACTGCTTCGCCTACTTTGCCACTCATGATTCCACTGCCTGGAGCGAAGTTCACTCCCCTGCTGCCTTGTGAGCACCAAACTGGGACTTTAAGTGGGACTTGGAAAAGGACACCACCATGTAGACAATATATCCCAACAGCACAGCTTTCAATAGCTATCTCCCAAGAAACATGTCAACAAAGGGTTTTTGGGTTGACCAATTATATACATCTGTCAGTATAAAACAGACTGAAGTCAAGATGGTAAGAACTGCCTTTTAGCAATAGGATATCAAGCTGTAAAACCCGTAAGAAAGTAGAACACACTCATGATATCCTACCTCTGTGAAGTATGTGTTCCAACCCCACACGGAATGGTGCTTCCACCGAGGTATACTGGGCTGCAACTAGACATGTTCAACAGATGGAGAAAAATGAAAATTTCAATAAAAAAGAAATACGAGAAGTTAATTTGGCCACGTTGACTCTCTGTCCTTGTGATCAAATTGTGTGTTTTCCCTAGGCAAGCCAGTGATTATAAAGAAGAGGTATTTATTACAGGATCACTGCTTTATTAGATATCACTTGTACATTCAGGAACACTCAAGGAGTTAAAATGAGTCACAGAAAAATGTGTTTGCCAAATAATGTAAGGGACAAAGTAAATACTAAAGACTATAACAGAACATTCATTTCGTAGAACTGTTCACACTTTTTTTTAACATGGCATAAAATTATTTACAATAGCAATATTCTCCCATCTAATTTCCTTTATACTAAGGGGTCACGGACAATAAGAACACTGAAGATATTACTATTGGTCTTTCTCTGAAGGCCAGCCAGGGCTTTGTTCGTCAATGTCACTGTTGCTGAAATGGTAACAGGATCTACTAGATTATGCTCACAGTGTTTGCTCACTAGAGCGTGTAGTTCACCAAAGCAATCTCAACTTACCTTTTAGGGGGGCCTTGAAGAGAAGCTCTGACAGATGTGTTACCTGAAGATTTAGATTTTAATTTCTGTTAAAAAACACAGAACAATAAAAGGCCAAGGGTAACTTGGAGAATTAGAACATGAAAAGTAATACTCTTTATTTCATAACAAGAATATTTTAGAAAGAACAAAACTTTTGGTGGCATCATTTGTTAAGTATCTGAAATGAAAACAATTATCAAAACCTTTTGAAAGCAACAGAGACGCAGAATTCTCTAAGGAATTTGCAAATTACTATGCTAAATTTTACTCCAGGAAATTGATATATTGCCATTATTAGCACGCTAAGATTTAGTCACTTTATAACTCTTCAGCTGATACCAGAGTTAAATGATTTAATATGAAGGGCCTGCTATTTAAAACTGCATTCTGGAAAAACTCAACTTGAGGAGGAAAAAACCTCAGGCTCATTTTTAAAGGCTGTGAATGGTACTTATCTGAACTAAAAATAAACTAACCAAACTCCTGTGTAACTTCAGGAATATTAACTTTGATTGAATGGAATATTAGCCAATAGATATTCACGGAAAATGTAGAACTATTTAGTCAGAACCACACAGTAGTGCCTATATGGTTATATAACATCATCACCATTCGCAAGCATTCATTAAGTGTTAACTGGTATATGATACTGAACATAAACCAATCACGTACTAGGACCACCGCCAAAGAGAGGAAGTGAGATGGAGAAAAGGCAGTGTAAACTATGCAAGGACAGGTCTCCATTTTCTCTAGTGGAGGAGGAAGTCTGATGCCAAAACATTTCATTTTATTATTTCTCAGTCTTTTATTTGATGCTACACAGAACTGGAAAATTTTCTGACACATCTCTGAAAGGTAATAATGTGCGTGAGTCTGTCTTGTGGAGCGTTTCATGTGGCAACCAGGCTCACACTGAGACTCTAAGTGGCACACTGTGACATCTGCTACCTGACTTTCTGGTGAGGGTCTGAGGGCAGGTTAGAAGGGCACCAGACTGTGAGAGTAGAGGCGGGGCGGAGAGCAGCGGTTTCAGGTAATAACATGCCCCTCAGGACAGTGTGGGCAGGAAGCATTCAGTCACAGGCACGTCTCTTCCTCACTCAGTAAGTATTTACACAGACCTACTTTGCCTGGCAGGCTGGAAAACTGGATATAACAACAACAAAAAGGGAACACACAGGAATGAATAGAAGTTTATTTCTTCATAATTCTAAGAGCTATTTTTATTTCAAATTAGTGGGTTTTTTGTTTTGTATTATTGCTTTTGGCAGTGTTAGGTATGAAATCCAGGGCCTTGTACATGTTAACAAGTGCTCTACTCTGGAACTATACCCGTACCCCCTACAGTATATCTTAAATGCAAACAAGGTAAGTTTTGTCTATGCCTGCAATAACTTGAAGTGAAGATAACATCTCATATACAGGCATGTACCTTATAGCAGAAAAAAAAAAAGAAAAACTGCTCAGATGATTAATAACAAAATCATGTTAGTTTCTGGTACTATTACCATTACTATCCAGCATTTATGGTACACTTATGTGGGACATAGGGAGTATACTGTATGAGTTTAACATTGCTCCTCTTGATGTAATAAGCTGTAGTCATCAGCTTATTAATTTACCTCAGAGAAACTGAAAATGTTAAATTTACAGAAATTTAGATCCTAAAATCTGTATTAGTCACTTAATTTTGTTTGGCTGACAAAAACACCAGTGGCTCCTATCCACAACACTACCATTATCTTCTTTATGTTCTCTACGTTCAAAAACAAAACCAAAGCTGAGCATGGTGGCGCATACCAGTAATCCCAGCACTTAGGAGGTTGAGGAAGGAGATCTGTGAGTTTGAGGCCAGCACAGGCATTGTGAGTTCAAGGACAGCTTGAACTAAAGACCCTGTGTCAAAAGACCAAACCAGACCAGACCAGACCAGACCAGACCAGGGCCAGACCAGGGCCAGACCAGGGCCAGACCAGGGCCAGACCCAACCAAACCAAAATGACTAGAATAAGTCCTTCTGGATATTATACTTATTTTAAAGATTTTTTTGGTTGTCTTTGTACATTAGACATCTATTTGATCTCATTCTTCAATATCTACAAAATAAATTTCACACACACCATCCTGATAAACAATATATAGAAAAATATAAATAAGTCACTTTAGAAAATAATTTGGCAATGTATAGCAATACAATGAAGATGAACACACCTTATGACTTAAGAAGTCCTTTTCTAGGTTTATGCATCCTAGGGAAAGAAATCCTTGTACATGAGTAAAAGATGACATGTAGAGATAACTGACACAACACTATTTGCTTAGTATAATGTAGGTAGAAAACATGGTAGTTACTTCTGGGAAAGGAGGCAGCAGAGTAGGATTTGTAGAGGTCATAAACTGTATCTCTAATTTTTATTTCTTTCCAAAAAACCCAGAGAAGCAGATACAGCAGAATATTAAGATAGGTTTGGTATGGGTGGCTGCTTTATTATTTATAAAATTTCCTTGGGATTGAACCCAAGGCCTTCCAACTGCTAGCAAACATCTTCAATGTTTCTAAAAAACTTCTGAGGGCAGGGAGTGGTGGTGCACACCTGTAATCACAGAGCTTGGGAGGCTGAGGCAGGAGATCACTGCAAGTTTGAGGCCAGCCTGAACTACATAGTGAGACCCTGTGTAAAAAAAAAAAAAATATCCTGAGTTGTTTACAGGTTGGCCTCAAACTTGTCATCCTCTTGCCTGAGCTTCCTGACTAGCTGGAATTACAGCTGTGGGCCACCACATCTGGCTAGTTTATGAATTTTTTTATATAGTTAAAATAGAGACACATTTAAGAAGTTAGTATACTGCTGGGCATGATGGCGCACACCTGTAATCCCAACACTCGGGAGGCTGAGGTAAGAGGATTGTTGCAAATTTGAGACCAGCCTGGGCTACAAAGTGAGGCTCAAGGCCAGCCTGAACTGCATAGCAAGACCCTGTCTCAAAAAGACCAAAAAAAAAAAAAAAATTAATATCCTAATAATTTAGTCACTGGTTCTAGGGTAACTGCAATAACATCCCATCTGAGATGCTAAACATATTCCCATACGAAAAGCTGCTTTTGTTCTTGTAGAAGAACATTTTTAGTGCCTACAAATAAATACAAGTGACCGACTTGATCTCTGAATTGAATTTTACATTAACAGCTTTTCCAATCTTTTATTCTTGCTGAGAAATGAACAGGAAAACACACTGTGAGAGTTCGGAGTATTTTTATTTCCTCTACAACTCTTTAAGTAGAACAACTTAAGTAACTGTATTTCTTAGAATTCAGAGGACTGCAGAGAGCCACTGTGCCTGCTTTGAATTGTAAGGCCACTCTCCATGTCTCAGGATAATGCATGCATTACTGTACATTGTAACACTTCACTTACAAGAGGTTTTTGGTCAAAGCTGGGCTCTTCAAATATTTCATTAATAAGACTATCAAGATCATCTTCTTTTTTAAAGGTTTCTGTTGATCTGAAAAGAAAAAAACACACACATAACAACCTTGCCTGAAGCTCAAGAGCAGAGAGTATGAGAAAAGTTTTGTTGAAAGTCCACCATTAGCACTGATAACAGAAGGATAAACACAATGTTTAAGTAGGAGTTGTTCCTAAGGCAATTCACCAGTACATATTCACATATATACTTTACAACTGTATACTTTAAAATAAGACATAAACTCATACATTATATTTGAGAGAAAACTGAAGTTGCTCCTTTCTAAGTTACACAAAACACTTTAACCGTATCTCTTCACTAGGAGAGCCAAAGGTCATATAATCAAATGACCAGAAAAAAAAAGTGCCAAATGTTCTAACATTTCAACTATGTCTTTCTGTTCACAGGCAAAGGTTTCACTGGGTTGTTAATGCGAAGGATTCTAAACACTGGCGGGGCATGGTGGCACACACCTCTCAGTGCTTGAGAGGCTGAGGCAGGAGAGGCTAGCCCAGGCTACAAAGTGACTTCAAGGACAGTCTGAACTACACAGTAAGTCTCTGTCTCAAAAACAAAACAAAACAAATGCAAACACTAACTGAATGCTTACTGGATGCCAGGCAGGCACTGTCCCAAGGTTTTATATGAGGACATCTCTATTACTCCAATTTTTGGGTCAAGAAAAGGCACTAATGTTCACAAGCTTGCCAAGGTGGACGGCTTGGAACTGAAACTAGCGCAGCCCACATACCTAACACTACATGAAGCTGGTTCTTTAGACATATGCTGTAGATGCCGTTCATCCACTTCATAACTTCACTGGACTGCTAAATGATTTGCTTTTAGAAAAAAGTATTTTTGGTCAAACTCTCTAATTTTGGGTATGTATTCTCACTCTGAAACTTTTTTTTTTTTTTTTTTTTTTGTTTTTTTTGTTTTTCTCCGGTACCGGGAACCGAACTCACGACCTTGCGCTTGCCAGGCAGGCGCTTTTGCCACTGAGCTAAATCCCCAGCCCACTCTGAAACTTTTTAACATCAGGAATGTAGCCCTTCTCTGTTTCTCCCTGGAATAAGACAATTTAATCTGATATAAAAAAATCCAGAGACAGCTGTCTAATACTTTTCCATCTGCCTCCAGGCTTTGCCTCTTCAATTGTTTCCTCTTTTACTCTTAATGTGTCTCCTTCTACACTGGCTTCTTCCTTTGCCTAGAAGTACACTTAAGACTTACCAAACCCAACCCAACCCAACCCAAAGAATTTCTTCCTCAAATGAAGATAAACCTAAAAAACAAACCACTAGAAAAACCTCTTGAAGCTGCCAGCTGTTCTTACAAGAGTAATCTACAATAATTTTTTTCCTATTTCCTTACAAGTAGACTTGACTTAGCACTAGCCGGTAACCCTGGTGGAGGGTTTCTCAGTCTTGGAATTGATATTTTGGGCTAGATAATTCTTTGAGGGGTGCGTGTGGCTGGCTGGGGACTGCTGTACATTGCAGGATGTTCTACAGCATCCATGGCCTCTACTCTCTAGATACCAGCAGCACACCTGGGTGTAAATGTCTAAACATTTACCTTTTAGTGAACAACTTAAAATGTCTGCACATTACCAAATGCCCTCTGGGTGGCAAAATCATTACAAGCCCAGAGTTACTGTCCTAGTTTAAGTTATTTAATCTCTCTGAACGTCAGATATTTTATCTACAAGAATGGTATCTCGGTGACTACTTAAAACTACGTCCAAGTATATTCCATTTCTGGCTTCTACATCCCTCAAAACAGTGAAACTCTTCCCTGAAAGGTCACTATTGCCCAAATCACTGCATTGTGGTCTTTCTCAGTTCTGATCCTTTTTAAATTTTCAGAAGCATGTGATATTGTTGGAAGTTCTCTCTTCCTCTGGTTTTGATGACATATTGTCTGAGTTCTCCTCTTTCATGCAATCCCAAAATTTCAAGAGTCAGATGGATGCAACCTCTACCAACCTAATTAGCACTATCAGAGATCTAAATTCTAACATAAGATTCTAATCTGTTACTGGATCACAATTTCATGGAGTCTACACTTGCCTAAACTTTACTACAGTAATAATAATTAAAAAATGGCAACACTTCATTGAAGCTTAAATTTAGATCTACTATGTCCTGGTAGACTTGGCAGTAAGACTTTGGGTATGTAATTTTTTTTGAGATAGGGTCTTGCTATGTAATCCAAGCTGGTCCTGAACTTAAAATCCCCTGCCTCAGTCTCCTGAGTGCTAGGATTATAGGTGTAAACAACTACACCAGGACACTATTTTTTAAGCCCTGATTTGGTCACTGAAATGAGGATAACAGTATTCACTGTAATAGTATTCACCTCATGGAGCTGTGGAGATTAAAGAAAACATAAAATAAGTAGCATACAAAAAGGATAAATGTTAGCTATTATTATTGTACCTATTATAGATAGGTTATAGTATCTTTATTTTTGTTTTTTTTCTGGTACGGGGAATCAAACTCACCACTTTGGGCTTGCCAGGCAGGTGCTGTGCCGCTGAGCTAAATCCCCAGCCCCCTAGTATCTTTAAATATTCCCCTCTGTCTCATCCTGCACCACCTGGTTACTCTTATAGTTTTATTTACCTCGTCTTTAAAAAAAAATCATATGTTTCTATCATTTTGAGCATTTCAATAAATTGCATGTTTTTACCTTTTACATTAGCAGTTGTTCCTGGTATTACTGCTAAATTACTATTGTAAGAGGTAATCTTGGTATTTTAACTAATAAAAGACACAGGTTATATTGCTGTGCAATCAGCAGGCAGTCTCCTGTTAATAAATCGCTGACTTTTAAATATCAATTTTGGCTCAAAGTAAAATTTTAGGGCTGGGGATATAGCTCAGCGGCACAAGTGCCTGCCTGGCAAGCTCAAGGTCCTGAGTTCAATTCCTGATACCAAAAAAAAAAAAAAAAAAACAAAAAACCCAAAATAAAATTTTAATACATGATATTATACTAGGTAGAGACTCTACCAGGTAGGGACTAGATTCCATACTAGGTTTTGGGTCTTTGTTGCTTTTTTTGCATAATTTGCAGCTATCTTGTCAGACAAATAGTTTTAACACAAATGACAACAATACTGATTCATTACAGTCTATACAAAGATAGCACTGAAAAATCTAATGTATTAAGGTGGGATACTAAAAGCATTAGGTTCATTTACTTATTTCTTTTGAGACAGGGTCTCCGTATGTAGCCCAGGCTGGCCTTGAACTTGCAATGATCCTCCTGCCTCAGCCCCCTGAGTGCTGGGATTACAGGTATGCACCACCCTTGTTTCTTTTTAACAGATTTTTTAGAAGGATGAAAGTAGGCATGAAAAAAATCTGTTTTGGGAGAGGATTCATGCAAGCAGCAGTTTTATAGTCCTTTTCATCTAAGCTGCCTGCCACCACACATCCCACCTCTTTGCATGCTAATTCTCTTAATATGAACATGCTTTGGAAAGCTCTGATAAATTCTTTCCATCCCCTAAAGGAACCTAAAAAGAACAAAACAAATTGCAAAATAACACTGCTGCTGTAGGATACCAACAGTACAAGTGCTGGCCTACAAGGTAGTAACATAAATTAAGAAGACTGACACTGTCATAAACATTTAGCCAAACAGGAATTGGCCTGTTCAAAGTAGTCACTTTAGTTCTACTGTTTTTTTTTTTTTTTTTTTTTTTTTAATGCTGCTTAGCACTCAACTAATTTCTTTTAGAATTTGTTTCTAAATTCCTTCAGAATCTTTTCAATATTTTATCTTCTGAGAGAGTGAACTGTTATAAACAAATGTCAGCCTTTTTTTAAAAAAATCACATATTTAAGCATTTCAATAAATCACATGTTTTTTACCTCTTACACTGGTAAGTCTGGTGAACTGGGTAGCAACCGAATTGAACCTGGGAAATCACGCACACACGCACACTAAACTACCAACGCAGTTATAAAATTAAAAAGAAAGACATTTTTTGGATTGATCCAAGGCCAATTTCACAAAACATTCTAGCAAGTTATTGCTGAGCATCCCAAGCCAACATTTTGAAGGACAGGATGTAAACACTTTGTTTTTTTTGAAATCGAGCTGGAAAGGAGATGAACTAGTAAGTCCTATTAATGATTATATGGAGGAAAAAAGACTGGTAAATCTGAAAGGCAGTTTGATGGGGGTCAAAAACCAAAACCAAAAGACTACAACCGTAGTCTCTGCGAGGTGGGAGATCGAGGCAAGAAGACAGCTTAAGCCCAGGAGTTCAAGGCCAGCCTGGGCAATCCAGAGACCTGACTCAGAACAAAAAACCCAGACTTAAGAAACACCTTCAAAAAAAAAAAAAAAAAGAAACATCCTCAAATTTTCACGTGGGTGCCTGGTACGGGTCCCTGAACTTGAGGCCAGAGTAAGAAAGGAATTAGGCGGGCTACTTAATACAGATAATGTTCACAATAATTAACCCTCTGTCGTGAATCTAACGTCATCAAACTCCGAGTTAAAAATTCCGGGTCACGACAGCGAGAACGTGGTCTTTTCTCCTTCCTTAACGACGAGGTCAGAGGCGACTGGCCGGTCTCACGCGGTAGAGAACCGCCGCGCCCGACGCTGCCCAAACCCGGCGGCTCGGGTGAGGCGGGGCCGCGCGGAGCCCGCCCGACCAGGGCGCAG